GTTCGCCAGTTCGGCAAATATTTACTATACTATATCTGTAGTTAATATTGCCACAGAATAAAGAATTTATATTGCCGTATCTTCGGCGTAGAGTTTACATGGAATGCACTCTGGAAATTTTTTATATGTCCCAAATATTTAATAATACATGAGTTCGCCAGTTCAGCAAATATTTACTATACTATCTATAGTTAATATTGCCACAGAATAAAGAATTGATATTGCCGTATCTTCGGCGAAAAGTTTACATGGAATGCACTCTGGAATGTTTTTATTAATATATAATACACTGTATAAAATATTGGATATTTTCGAGGATATTTTAAGACTTATACAGTATTATACAGTATTAAAAACAATCCTTCTGTGACTTCTGTAATATTTTAAACAGTGAAAACATAGCAGGCAATAATATTGCCAATTAACAATATCAAAGGAACCTACTGAACAGTTCTCAGGAGATATTGAATTAAATCCTGGTCCTGTATTTCTGTATATTGACTCTGTAACAACAGTCGATCCAACTATAAAGCTGTCATCAAATGTAGTGTTAGAGCAAAGGTTGAAGATGTTATCAGTTAAAATACTTATACATTTTGGTTTTACCCATTAGAGTTAATTAAACAAAATTTTTACAAACATTTTCAAATAAAAGAATCCTCACCCTCCCAAGCCTCATTACATTGTCATTTTGCTTTCTAACATAAATATTTTTCTTTAGAGATTAATACAAGAATGAAGAATAAATGTATTGGATATTGGCTGGATAATTTTGTCGGAACAACCAACTTGCAAGACAATCTTACCTAAATTCATTAGTATGGAAAATAACTTAACAGCTATACAATGAGTAATCATATATTATATGGTGGATTTGATCAATGGCACACAATGTACAAAACTAAACTTGTGATACCTTCTACTCAAACCGATAATCTCCCACAACACGATTGTTTTTGTGTGAATGTGATGTACGTGTTAAACCGAACAGTGTGGTATATCATTAACTGTGCACAGAACTGGAATTTAATTATATACTTCACTCATGACCTTCAAATTATTCTCAATTATTCAGTGGTCTTCGACATGTTCACCAAATATTTTGTGTATGTTACTCAACAGTTAACATTGGCAAGTGTAAACAACAAGTGACATAACTTTTGCTTCATATGATTACAATAAAGTTTTGAAAATTTGATGAGTATGGATTGAATTGACAGGTGACAGTTTACTAAATAGCCGGCTGTATAGACACTTTGAATATTGTTTGCATGAAATTTTTATTTCCTGACTGCATAATTATCTGTTACAATCATAATCACATTATAAAGTTGGTTAAATTTTCTCGGTGCGGGGGTGGGGGGGGGGAGCACTTGCCCTGCTGCCCTCCCCGCTGTGTACAGCCCTGTTTTAAATCTTATCTGCTATTATAATAAGTGATGAAATATTTCAATTGTCCCATGTCATCTTCATTATTCAGTTTCTTTCAAGAAAATACAAAATGTGAATCACTTTTTTTCGCAGATACATGTACGCGTCGCGTACCTATTTTTGACTTTAGAAGCGAAATACAAGCAATTTTTGACTGTATTCGTAGCAATTAATATATACATATCATTAATATTTAGCAAATATATCAGCAAACGCAAACGATAAGAAAGACATTGTCTTGTCTATTGTTGTGAACACAATCACAATAGTCTAAAGCTTCTCAAGAATGTGAACGACTAATTATAACAATTAATTATAAGAGTTAAGTTGACTAAATTTAACACGCTGGCTTAGTTTCTCAAAGCGTAGTGGAGTAATATTGCTATCTGGCTATCATATAATATTCATAGTCCGATAGAAAATCGTGAACCGTAAAAACAAAGACATGAAAATTTGTTTTTAGCACAAGCATGCAGTTATGAAGCCATGACTAAGCGAGATGAAATTGCATTAACCTGGCAACAATTCAGATAATTTGTTACTTTAACTTATTTTGTAATTAATGGCAGGCACGGCAAGGCAAAATTTGATGTACGGCAAAAGTTAGCTGACGTAGGCACGGCATGTTTATTCTAAATATTGTGGGACATTTAACTTATCTATCGAATTCAAATGCGAGGAAATACTTTTGAAAACTGCGCATTTAGTTATCTATGCTTTGTCCAGATTTACACCTTATTTAGGCTATATACACACGGCACTAGACACATTTTGCCCGGATAAAGTGTATCTTGCATGACCAAATTAAAGCAAAAACATGCATTTAGCGAACTCAGTCTACGTTGCAAACTTCGAGAATATTAGTTTCACAAGTATCTAGTTATTTGTTTATCAAGTCAAAATCTCGAAGGTTTTGAACGTTTAACGATTTGCACAAGATCGAAACTGGGTCACGCAGTTCCTGGTCCACTATAGTACGATCGTACTTGTTATAATGGTCCGTTGGAGCCTGGCAATAGTTACAGTATTTTTCAAAGGATTGTACTCAATGACAAGGTATGGTACTTGTTGCTTATCACCATAGTCATCAAAATGTGATGGTCAGGGGCCGGTTGTATAAAACTCTTAATCACTTTTTAATCACTATTTTGTAGTTAAATAGTGATGACTCTTAAATAGGCGCTTCTTATTGGATGACATTTCCACTTAACTATGATTAACTTTAATCACTTTTTTATACAACCGGCCCCTGGGAACTAAACACACGTCATTGTCTTATAAGTTTATGTTAATTTGCGCACGGTCACGGTGACTGAGCTCATTGTATTTCGTAGAATAAGTAAACCGTCCAATAGGCAATAGGGATAGCTGAGATGAAAGTGCAGCCATGATGAATAATATTTAATGAAGTTGAGACAAAGGATTTGAGCACGCTGAAGAATTGTAGTTCAACATAAAAGAAAGGTCTTCTATTTTGTAGCTTTGAAGTTTGCCTGGTTTCCAGACCATCATATCGTAATAGTCTATGGTTATCACACTTTAAAAGTTTAAGCTTTTCTCGTTTAAAAGCAATTTGACATTGACACAGATGCCAAACATAGTAAGAACAACGTGATAAATCTTTTGTCTACCTATAACAACACCGCGGATAAATTTCTATTTACTTCCTTTACTTTAGAGTGAATATTACTGCACAAATTGGAGTCCTGCTTCAAAAACGAACGAATATACAGGTAAACACAGGCAAATAATTTAACTGTATTCATAGATGAGTTAGATAGTACAGCCACGAGAAAAGAATACGTACACAGTCGAGATGAAATCCATTATTCGTAGAAAATAATGGTAGTACATTTGTTTGGTGAAAACATGTTCCTTATCAGTATATTCAAATATTTCTTGTATTCAGTATATTCAAATATTTCTTGTATTTTCTGTTTCCCAGGTGGCCCTCGTATACTGACCAAGATATCCAGTGGTGACATAAAGGCAAAGGAAGGTGATCTTGTCAACCTACTGTGTTCTGCACAAGGTGAACCTCCAATTACTTTCAGCTGGAAAAAAGATCAGAAGCCACTAGAAAGTTTCACAGAAACCGCTAAAAAGCCTTACCGCAGTTCATTACTTGTTGTAACAGTGAAAGACCAAACAAGTTTTGGGGAATATAGTTGTCATATCCGAGATCGATTTCAAAGCACTACTCGTACAATTTCGATCCAGAATGATACAGGTAATACTGCATCGACTTATTCAACCTTCATAAATTTGATAAACCAAAATCTAATCAGAACACAATCATTTCTGTTTTAAATGTGTTATCTTGAATGATTACGTGATCCAAAGAAGTGCATTTTCAGACATTCAAAGTTAACGCGTTGTTTATTTTTTACATAGGTGCAGAAGATGGTGAAAACTTTCTTGCTGGAATTATAGTATTAGCAGTTCTGCTGCTCATTTCACTTGTTATCCTCGCTTACTTCATCTATCAAAATCGACTCAAATCATCAAAGGCAAACCCAGAGAACAAGAGCAGTGACAGAAATAATTCAAAAGATATTTATGAAAATCCTGACAAAATCCAAGATGATGCGAATTATGAACAAATGGTAAATGAACAGTCGACGTATAAAGGTCTCGAAAAGACTGGGGAGGAAGAAAATGATGATCACTTATATAGTCATCTAAATGAAGTACACACTACGTGGATCAGAAGGAAACTGGAATTTAAGGGGGCTCTTGTACGAAGCCCGTCTGGTATATGTAGTGAATAAGCTTAATACAGATAATAAGAAATAAATTTGTTAAATAACCAAACTGAACTCTTTCGACTTGAATAGAAGATTACTAATACCAAGTAATTGTTGAACTGTTATCATAATACCAGAAATGTATAAAACACAATCTATAGCCGTGTTTACGTGATTTAGGAATGTTTGATATTTGTTATTCCTGCAATTTCAAAAGCACCACAGACTTCCCGCTGAGTTTCAATGAATATTTCTGTTATTTTGCTTCGCGTCGTTGATTCATTTCTTCTTCCGCTTTTCTAACGCGTACTTGAATTGAAGTGCTTCCTCAACAACAAAATGTTTTCAAAGTGTTTTCGTTTTGTAATACTGTGATTTTCCTGTTACTCCAAGGTACGTTTTCTGTCGTTTATAACATATATTTATAATTCATGTGCTTTCAAACACGCAGTCACTTCTGTTTTGAACCTATAACCTCATAATAAGTGGCAATGATTATAAATCTAAACATGACGCTCCACGGAGCGTTGTTGCTGGGACTATGGAAATGGCAGCTTTAAGTACAAGTATGCCACTAAAGAAGAGCGGGTTCGTTTTTTCGAAAATATTGATTCCTTAAGTTGGCAGTTTGCCTAGCAGTTACCGCTAAGAATTTAAACAAGCACAACCATTGTTTTAATCCCCGAGCCGGCGGCGCGAAGCGCCGTGCGAGGGTAGTAATTCCCCCCGGCTATTTACACCCGTGGAAACGAAAGCATTAGCGAAGTCTAAAGTTCATCAGTGAGCGCGGGCGTCGGTCACCAACGATG